AAAAAAATATGGTTGCTTAAATTTTGAGAACCAACCACTGGATCTTTTTGGGGGTTTCTTTCTTGTAAATATAATCTACAACCTATATTGCAATGTTGCTATATTATCAAAATATTCCAAATTTTCAAAAAAAAATATTCGAAAAAAAACCTTATAATCGTGTTTCTGTCGTCAAACCTCATAATCGTGTTTCTGGGGTCGAAATATAATACCCCTAAACATATTTGCACTTATTTAAGACTTCATCATCATCATCATGTAGCCATCGTTGTCCACTGCTGAACGTAGGCCTCCTCCATATTTTTCCATGTCTCTCGATTTTGGGCCGTCATCATCCAATTTCCAGCAATCCTCTTTACATCATCGGTCCAGCGTGTCGGTGGTCTGCCTCTGCTACGTTTATCTGCTCGAGGTCGCCATTTTAACAATCTTCTAGTCCACATGTCTTTAGATGTTCTCGCCACATGACCTGCCCATCTCCATTTCATTCGAGTTACGTGTTCCACTATGTCTTTAATTTTGTTTTTTTGTCTGATAGTGTTATTAGGAATTTTGTCTCTTTTAGTTATTCCAAGCATGGCTCTCTCCATGGCTCTCTGGGCTACTCTTAAATTTTCTGCTGACTTTTTCGTTAATGTTAGAGTTTCCGCTCCATATGTAATTACCGGCAAGACGCATTGTTCATAAACTTTCCTCTTCAAGCATATGGGTATATCACTTTTAAAGGTCTCCCGCAGTTTACCAAAAGCAGCCCAACCCAAACCTATTCTGCGCTGTATCTCGTGTGTTTGGTTGTTCTTTCCGATTTGTATTTCGTGCCCGAGATATTTGTATATATGTGTTTCTTTTATGTCGGCGTCACCTATTCTGATGTTCTGTATCAGCACTAAGTTTGTCATTATTTGCGTTTTACTCGTATTTATCCGGAGACCGACTTTTAATGAGGCCTGCACTAATTCTTCGAGCATCTGCTTTGAATCTCCGATGTTACCTGAGACAAGGACGATGTCATCTGCGAATCTGAGATGTGTCAACCTTTCACCATCGATATTTATGCCCCTATTCCAAGAGAGTGATTTCATTGCGTATTCAAGGACAGCTGTAAAAAGTTTAGGCGAAATTAGGCTATCCCCTTGTCGAACTCCTCTGCCTACCTCAATTTTATCTGTTGTTTCGTGAAGTTTTACAGTTGTGGTGGCATTACTATATATGTATTCTATAAGCCTTGTATACCTATAATCTACTCTTACCTGCTCCAATGCTGCTATTATTGATGTTAATTCTACTGTGTCATGCTTTCTGGAAATCAACGAACACCAATGCTAGGGGCCTGTTGTATTCCACAGATTTTTCTATCAGGACTTTAATTACTTGAAGATGATCGTTTGTTCCATAACCTTTCCTAAAGCCTGCCCGTTCTCTTGGTTGATAGAAATCTAGTTTACGTTCGAGACGTTTGGCAACGATTTTGGTAAACAGCATATACAAGTGACAAAGAAGGCTTATCGGTCTATAATTTTCAAGCTCGGTGATATCGCCATTTTTTTTTTATGGCCGGAGAAGTTTTATCGCCGGAGAAGTATCGTTATGGCGTTGTTCTATTGAGACGGGATTATTCCTTTTTCAAGGCATAGATTAAATAAGTCTTCAATCCATTTTAATAGTGTTCCTCCTCCGAGTTTTACAGCCTCAATCACTATGCCGTCCTCGCCTGGGGCTTTGTTATTTTTCATTTCTTTTAAGGAGTTTCTGATTTCTTCTGTAGTTATTTCCGGTATATCCTCTGATCCCTGGTTAACTATCTTTTTGCACAGATGTTGTTGACTGTTGTATGTTTGTTGGTGATTACTTGTGTATAGTTCAGTGTAAAAGTTTTCTGTTATTTTCAACAGCCTTTCTCTATTTGTTGTTACGACCCCTTGGTTGTCTTTTAGTTTAAAGATCTCTCTATTTCCATTTGATAGTTTTCCCCGCAACACCTTCATACTTTTATTCTCTTCTATAGTTCGCCGTATATTATCTGTATTAAATTTTCTTACGTCCTTTCTGATTTCTTTAGATATTGTTTTATTCAATTGTCTCAGGTCTTCAGAGTTTCTGTTATTTTGTTTTAACATTTCTTTTCGCAAAGATATCATATTCTCTGTATTTTGGGTGAGTTTTTGTTGTTTGTTATTAATTTTTGGCAGTGTTTGGTTGTGAGTAAGTTCATTAAAATCTCCTATAAGAAAGGTTTGACTACATCCAGGAACTGTAATTGCCCTATCGATGTCCTCGTAAAATTGGTCTATTTCGTCTTCTTCGGCTGTACATGTTGGTGCACAGGCTTGGATAATTTTCATTTTAAGTCTACTGTTTAGGCGGAATATTACTATGCTACGCGCTTGGAAACGCTTGCGATGCTGAAAATATCTGAAGCATGCTTTTTATTTATCAAGAAGCCTACACCACCTATTGAGTTGTCCGTTTCGCCTATATGGTAGAGAATGTGTCCTGACTTGAGTGTAGTCCATGCTTCGCCTCGTCTTCTAATTTCGCTCATTCCAATAAAGTCCCAATTAACTTTATCTAATACTTCTTGGAGTTCCAATAGTTTCTCCTCCGTTGATAAGCTTCTAACGTTGTTTGTGGCGATTTTGAAAACTCGAGAGCATTTTCGCTTCCGTGTTGTTTTGGATGTCACGAGCTTGTCTCCCCCAGAATCCATGAGACAGACTGATATGTTATCAGTGTGAGATTTTGGACGTATCATCCTACTCACCTGGGGTATATTTGTTTTAGTTTGTGACATTTCAAATTTAGTGGAGGGTTTTGGCATTAAAACGCCGCGCTTGCCTTGCGTGTTGGCGAGTTTTGTGGGAAATGCATTTCCGCAATTTCTCTGATATGGTTGTGGGGTTATATATATTGCCCCTTACTCGGTCGCCAGAGCCTCGTCTGTTATCTAGCAGGGGATACCAGGGTAGTTTTAATCTACCCCCTCGTGCAGGTGAGGTTGACTTTTGGATCGCTTGATGTTAAAGTTGTTGAGTCCGATCCCTTATCCGCCTTATTTAAGACTTACCCTGTATAAAATGACGCCCTGGATCCAAATATAGCTCCTGATAGTTTTCTGAATTATGTTTCTATATTATAGGTATAGTATCGAGTATGTTTTTGGAAGGGGACCTTTTTTATGATTCTAAATAATTTTTAATGTGCTAACGTTGAAATTAAGCGTGGAAGTCACTTTGAAAATTATGGCATTTGGTTGCTACATTAAATATTAAATTATACCAGTAGAGGAAAAATAAATAAAGGTGTAAAGGCCTCTACGTATAGAGCTAGTGGAGCTCTATATTCGCCCCATTTAGAATGTATTTCGAAAATGTATAGTTTCCGAGATATTTAGTTTCAAAGATTTCCCGATTGTCGATTTTATGGATATACCCCTTTGAAAAAATCGAAATTTTTTATTTATTAACTTTTTCGACTTTTCTCACCTGACACGGTTAGAAGATGTTAATGTAAGAATTATAAATGCAATTTGACACCGTTTTTAGGTTATATTGTATTTTTAAAACATCACCGAAAATGAAAAAATCGGTTTTTATTTTTTTTTCCTCACCCTGTATGTACTTTTTTGACAAACTGTGTATACTAAAACATATTTAACTAATCAATCTGCATCGATCCACGCACAAAAATTTTTCAAATAGGAATAAGTGAAAAAGTTCGATTTTGGTAAGGGAGATTTTTGGAAATTTTACTTTTTTTAACTTTTTTTAGGTTATCTACCAAACCCTACAATTATAAGAAACCATTTACTAAAAAATTGCATTTAGGCACCGACGGATAGACGACTGATGTAGCCCTCCCAAGGCCTATTTTTCGTTTCTTAGATTTTCATAATGACCTAACATTGACATAAGGAAAACGATTTAAATTTGAAATTTTGCCAAAATCGAAAAACGCATATATCCTCGCATATATCTCGGAAACGGTAACTAGCTAAACGACCAGTGAAGCCTCTACGGATAGAGCTAGTGGATCCCTATAATCGCCCCATTTAAACTTTGTTTCGAAAATTTCCAAAAATTTTCCCGGCCAAAATCGACCTTTTTTCACTTATCGATTTGAAAGCTTTTTGGGCGTGGATCGACGCAGATTGATTAGTTAAATGTTTTAGTATACACAGTTTGTCAAAAAAGTTCATACAGGGTAAAAAAATTGCATTTAGAATTCTTACATTAACGTCTTCTAACCGTATATCAGGTGAGAAAAGTTATAACGCAACCTTGGGTGAAAAAGTTTATAATGAGAACTGAGATTCACCAGGTTCCGTTACAAATAGGTTCCAGCTAGCTCAGTAAATAATTAAGTAAAATATATATGCACAGAACAAGAGATATCAAAAGGGAGGTGTATGGAAAAAGTGTACTGATTGAAAAGTCCAAAATGTACTGGATTCGTTTAATAAATATTAAATTTAAAGTTAAAACAAATTGCCAAGATCTATCATAAAATGTAGCAAATATTTAAATACGAAATAATGAAACATATATATACTAGTAAAAATGAACTATCCGTAAAATAAATTAAATCATGAATAGTATCACAAAATATTGTTGTGACTAAACTGTGAACAACCCTGATGCGTATTTGTGATTATGATTAAGTCTATAAAGAATAAAATGAAATTTAAATGTAAAATCCCTGGTATACCAAGTTCACATACGATCGTATATTTAATGTAATAAATTTTAATCAATCATAAACGCAATAAAATAAGAGATGATTAAAGTCTTATCTGTTATCCAGTGATCGTTCCAGTCAGTCCATGAGAAAACCCAGATTGCCGGTCTTCAGTGTCACAGTGGCATTCCTCGTCACAGTGGCATTCACGTCACAATGACATTAGTTTCAGTACCAAATCCAGTACAAAAAAATTGATAAAAATCTTAAGTTAAACCGTAATCATCACTAAGAGCCAAGGAACAAGAACCCTAAAATGTGATCTATTTTAGTGACACGTTCTAGTTTGGACATAGTAAAATACCTTTCCACCATGCGGACCTTCCAAGACAAAATGGCGTCTCAACGCATGTTACTCCATGGAAAAGGGTTCCTTAACTGTCCTCGTACTCATCCCAGTATGTCCACGCACCCATCTACAACTCCTATCCTCTAAAATAAATAGTTGTAGAAGAGAACCTTACACCTAAGAATGTCTCTTACCCAACCAACAAAGATATCTCTTTTCAAGGTTTTCCCCTGAATTCCAACTACACAGGCCAAGCTCAATTTCTTGCCAATCGGTCTTCTCGACCCTCAATGAATTCCAAGACCGTAATTCTACTGAACAATCCCAATATGGAACGGCGACCAGCCAAAATTTCACTAGAATTGCTTTTATTTTCGGCAGAGATCAGAAGGCTTCCCTTGCTTTCACCAAGATGGTTCAAAGTCGAAAAAGGACGCGTGTTTGCAAAATCCGCAAAAGACGCTGGACTCCAAAATACCAACCCAAAGTCTAACACAGGCAACCAGTAAAACAAAAGACCCAAAATAAAATTCGATGTAAAATTTTATTTAATGCATACGGATTGAGTGAAACATTTTATTACATCATAATAAAATTATAATAATCCCTATAAGAACATAATATCTTCGGAAAATTATTATACAGTTTGCGATCAGGTTGCGACGGTGTCACACGATCAGCTGACAACAATTGAAACGTCAGTCTGTAAATCGTAATATAAACAAGATGAAATTTAGGGAAAAATCAACTATAATCAGGTAAAATCAATTGATTACACACAGGAAAAATACATAATAAAAATCTTTAACCCATATGTATATGGCAGACCCAACATTCCCACTTGTTGCGTTGAAAACAGACAAAAGATAATCACATCAAGTCTATGTTTAAGAATCCTCCGAAAAAATATGCCAAGAAAATTATCCAAACACAAGCATAAGTCTAAATAAAGAATTAGTAACCACTGTAGAAAGAAGGGTAGGTTTTAAACAGACAAATTGATATTTTATTAATGAGGTTTTATATTACAGTTATCGGAGACAACTCCATCCCAAGAAATTGTTGTGGTGAAGAGATTTAATAGATAAGATATTATTAGAAGTTATATGTACAGTTAAGAAGTAAGCTAATTAAACGTTATTATTCAAGTTATTCAAGTAAGTTTAGTTTTATTCCTAAAAATAAGCAAAATAAGTAAAATAAGTTACGGTGAAATTTTAAACCGTAACAAAGTGGAAAAAGTCGATAAATAAAAAACTGGATATTTTCAAAGCGATATATCCAGAAAATCCACAATCGAAACCCTTCAAAATAAATATCTCGGAAACTATACATTTTAGAAACACAGTTTAAATGAGGCGAATATAAAGCTCCACTAGCTCTATCAGCAGAAGCATCACTGGTCATTTAGCTACTTACCGTTTCCGAGAAGAAACATCTTATTTATATTTACACCTTTATTTATTTCTTCTGCCGGTATAATTTAATGTAGCAACCAAATGGCAATATTTTCTAAGTGACTTCCACGCTTAATTTCAACGTTAACCATTTTTTAAACATAAAAAAGGTTCCCTTCTAAAAACACACGGATTTTGGTAGCACAACCGGACTAATATACAAAACTTTTATTTATACCTTTTTTATCTTTTATTTCCTAATATAATTCTATCTATCTATTAACTATTAATTACAACTAGCATGCTTTCTTTATCGAGCCACGAAAATTTTGTAATATTTTCATCTTTCCATTAACGATTTCTTAATAAAACACAAATATCTGAATAAACTTACTAGTTAAACGCAGTGAGAAGGGACCTCCCTATCATTACAAGCCCTATAACTATGTATCCATCCGGCTGAAAGAAACCCTTAATTCTAAGCCTACAGAAATACTCATTTATTAATAAACAAACAAAGGACAAAATTCCGTAATCCTCTCATTGCAAATTCAACTTCTGAATTATGTATGTACGTTCACGTTCTGACGTCATTAATATTGATGACGTGTGCTTAAAACTAACACCGTGTCGGCTTTAACATGGTTCAAACTCGTGTAATTGAATAATAGAATATCAATTTGAAGATATTACTTAATTATTCGACTAACGTTAAATAGCTGATATAGGCGGCCACTTTATTTTTAGACTTTAAATATTTTTATCTAAGGACGATATCCAAAATAAATTGGATATCAAAGTCTGTGTGAATTAAATGATGCAACTTATCTTATAGAAAAACTTGTAGTACAGAGTACCTATTTTGGTTATATATTTATCTTTAATCGACAGACAGTATGACGTACACATATATGTCACTATGTGATACTATAAAGTGGAGTAAAATTATTTCTGATGTTGAACTTTTGAAAATAAAATGCGGAGTGTGGCTGACATTATACGATAACATTAGTTTTCGGTGCCTTTTGTTGTTTATGCCCAAATCTGATTACGAATAAAGAACCAATGAGAAGATTTTGTCTGTTATCTAGTATGTTTATTCTAAGACCAAACGCAAATGAAAAAAAGAAAGATAAAAATATATAGAGAAAAATTTGTGGATGTTGAATTTGTATGTATAATCACTTGGAACAATACAAAAATCATAATAAAAACTAAACTCGGACGATTAAATCATCTCCTGATGATGCTAACCAGAAGTGCAAGCTCCCATAAAACTTAAGTCTTTTTTTGATTTAAATAATTTTAATGACTTAAGTCATTTGATTTTAAATCATAATATTTCAAAAGCTGACAAAAATACGCACACGGAACAACATATTACAAAAGCTATGCGGCACTACCTGGGGATCATCTGCGACCACTCTAAGAACATCAGCCTTGATCCTCGTGTACTCAACGGCCGAATACTGTTCACCTGTCTGGTTGAATAGTGCCCATGTCAACAAAGTGGATGACCAGCTGAATATCACAATGCGAATCATCTCAGGGGTTATACGAACTGGTGGCCTGTTTTAAGTAACATACCTCCTCCTTGAGGAGAAAACAGGCTTTACATAGAGAGCACAAGTAACTACCAGTACATTGTGACATAGCAGATTTAAATATTAATAGACTCCGCTCAAGAAAGCCACCACTCTCATCAAAAACACTTGGGAATACTGACGAGAATGCAGAGTTCAACTTATATGAAGCATGGATGGACAAATGGATGGAAAACGCTCCACCACAAAGTCGAGATTTCACATGTATCTCAGCAGTTCCTCCTGGTTTTGAGCAGCCTCGCAAAATATAACTCTAAACAGGCTGAGAACCCAACATGGCAGGTGCATGGATTCTCTCTATAAATGGGGAAAGGCTCCGGTATGTAATTGTGGACCTCTACGACAGACTGTTCGACATATTAGAGAAGAATGCGCTTTAACGGCATATGAGGGAGATTTTGGAGATTTCCTGAAAGCAACACCAAGTGCGATTGATTATATAAAAAGACTAGATGTTTGTTTGTGACAAGTTTGTTTTGTACTATATTTTAAATTTTCCTTTTTACATTTTGTGTTTGACATGTCCAATTTTTGTTCGTATTCTTATTATTAGTATATTTATAGCTGTGATAATAAGATGTGTTTTTATGTGTACTAGAGCCATACGCTAAATAAATTCACATTTTTTCAATAAGTTATAAGATAATCCGAGATATGGCGGGGTCTAGAATTAGGCCTGTTCCAAACACCGGAACACCGTTTTAACACCGGTGTTGGGCTGACACCGGTGGCCAAATATAGGCTATCCGGTGTTCCGGTGTTGACACCGACACCGGTGTTCATTTCGATTCCGGTGTCCATCTACAACACCGGTGTTCATCTCGACACCGGTGTTGGTCTGGACACCGGTCTGGACATCGGTCATCTCGATATCGGTTTTGGCTACGACACCGGTGTTTGGTAAACGGGTTAAAGAAGAAATAATGTTAATTAATAAGTTCAAAATAAACCTGATAATAATAATGTCGTATCGGTGCTTATTTTTATCGTTTATTAAAGCGCACCGACTTTAACTTAAAGCTTTTAAATTTAAATCTTTTTTTTTTGCCACATCACTAAAATAAAGTGGAATCGTCAGATAAACAACTGTTTAATCAAAAACAAAAAATTGTTTAATCAAAAACAAACAGAAAACAAAACAAAACATAAAGAAACAAAAATTCGTAGCTGTAAAATAAACTAAAAAATATTCCATTAAAAAAAACTAAAAAAACAAACAAACGGCACCATCGACATCGACACCGACATCGGTGTTCGTCGCGACACCGGTGTTGATATAAACACCGGTGTCGAGATAAACACCGGTGTTGAGATAAACCGGTGTCGGTGTTGACACCGGTACACCGACTGAAACACCGGTGGTTATCAGCACCCAACACCGGTGTTCAAATCTCAACACCGAAAAGGTCTATCTAGAAATGCAACAATTTCAAATTCGCCCTGTATTTCGGGACTAAGAGGGCTGCGACAAATCTGTGTGTCCATATGTAGTTTTATATAAAAGTAGCATAGTAATGTGAAAACCGCATCTTTGTATATCTGCTCATAAACGAGGAACCCTGTAAAACACACAAAAATGGGACACCCTGTGCAAAGTACCACAAAATTTAATTTTATGTAAGTTGTGTTTTTATGTTCTTAATGCGTATATTTATTTATTGTCTATTGTTTGTAGTTATTCTGAATATAAATACTTTTATTTTAAATGATTTTATTCTTATATGTATCTATAATAAATTAATAATAATTGGTATAGTTAAAAAGAAAATCGATAACACAACAAAATTAATATTAACATTTAAAAAATAAGGTACTTAAATTGAATTATGGTTGTCTTGACTTGTGGGTTATTATTATACTGATTTAAGTTATTATAATATAGAGTTAAGTCATAAAACGACTTAAATATCGTTAAATCGACTCAAGTCTTTACAAAAATGACTTGACTGAAAACTGATTTAAGTAAAAGACTTAAGACTTAAATCATTTGAACTTTATATTGGAATTAACTTAAGATTTAAATCATTTTGATTTTAGAAATGATTTAAGTCTTTTTAAAACTGACTTGTTGCAGCTCAGATGCTAACATGGTTAGTCCAGCGCGCGTTCAGTATTTAAAAGTATAAAGCGTTTTGATCTATTGTGGCGAATTAGTGTTTTATTTTGCTATCACCAACTATATTAATTTAATGACACTACACTAGACAAAATAACTCCTGCAATTACCAGAAACAAAAAAAAAATCGGAGATTACATTTATTTATACCAACAACCGTATTCTAGTGTATTCTTAATGATTGCAAAATATGAATCAATGTATTCACGATATATAACCAATGAATAAAACAAAAAGAAATGACTAATAATCAACCAAAAATTATAATAAGGAAAATGCACCAAATCCAAAAAGAGAGACAAAAATAAAATTTTGCCAATGTTACTATCTTGATTTGATATTTCAATAAT